GGTTGTAACTCGGTCGAATGCAGCGTAGATGGATGGCACGCGAAGGGATCAGAAGAGATGCAAATTCTTTGGAGTGATAAAACGGTGGTGAACAGTGGGTTGATAAAGATCAACCGAGACAATGCATGGACAAAAATCCATTGTGAAATAGGCGACGCAAAAGTAGGTAACTGGTGAACAATGCGGGAAGATAAATACTGGGTGAAAATTTGATTAAGCTAGTAAACATGAGGATGCAAAACAGGAACAATGGGTTGGGCCGAAAGCTGATCAAGTTAAGAAGGATGTACGAAATAATCAAACAAAGCGAGTGAATAAACGGACCTGCAGTGCTCTCCTCTCCATAGATCGGACGTTCTCGGGACCAACCAAATTTATTCGCTTCACGGAGGTATTCACTCTTAAGGGGGACGTTCAAAAAGTCTCACAGGAAATCACTGAAATGCGAAAATAAGTTGCCCTTCATTTCTCCTGTATGCCCTTTGTGAAAGATGCCTCGAAACAAACGTGTGCTGACAGTTTTTCGTCACTCTGAACAGTATTCTTCGCTGTAAATTTCCATCACTTAACTATCTCTTGCTCGTCAGCGTCACCTGCTGAGACTACACATTCTTCGTATCTTCCATACACGGGCTGTTTTCGTCCGAAAGAGAAATGTAACGTAACGATGATCTGGAAGACAAATCTCGCGAGATGCTAACACTTCGTTTAATATTGAAAATTGATTCTCGTAGCTCGGGTGAACTGAATTCCATTTCACCTGTTCGCCGAGCTTGGCCATTTGTTTGCAAACGTTTCATCACCAACCGAGGTGACATCATCAGTGCCAAATGACAAGCACTGATGATATCACCTTGGCTGGTGATGAAACGTTTGTAAACAAATTGCTAAGCTCGGCGAACAGGCGAAATAAACTTCGTTTAATCTCGTCTCGGCACTGGCGTAAAACAATCGGGCAAACATAGGTAGCACACTCAGTTGATTAATTATGGTAAACAAACGTGTAGAAACCATCAAAGATTACTGACTATAGAAGTGGGCTTGTGAAAACCATGTTTCACTAGGAGAGAAGTGTTTGTTCCCTGAATACGCTACAAAAAGAATAGCAATTACTCCGAAGAACATTGCTAAACATTGGTTACCCAGAAAAGTTATCTACCGGAATCCAACCCCATATGGTATTCTCGGCTAGTGACCATTGCGTGCCATACGAAGTGGTTATTATTCTCTTGCAGAATAATCATCCAATCCAAACAAGTTCCGTCGACGCAGTCGTATCAAAAATCATTTTTCGTTTTTATTTTTTGCTACAAATTTTACATGTTTATAGAGTGTTCTTTTATATCTCTGCCTTTACTCAGATCATCAGTGGGTCAGATGCATCAATTTTCTTGTCGGTCCCGGCAACAATGTTCCAGTAAGGTCTAACAGGAAACCCCTGAAAAAAGTCCAGTTTGAACAAACTATTCGCAAGATTATTTTTTTAAACCGCACTTGCCATAATCGTTCTGGGATGTTGAATTATCTAAAGAGCAATGCTTTATGTCATGTCCTACCCGAGATTCATTCGCTTTGGGCTGAAAAACAAATTGTGCCATAGCTTCTCATGGGTAAACCTCCGGGCCATGAATAATTTCATATTCAAAATTGTAAAATTTCTGCCTACCAGTCCCGGCATCAACATGATTGAGAATCTCACATTTTTGCTCAAAACAGAAGAGAATAATATACTCACATACTTTAACGCCGAAGTTGCAGACCGTGAAGCCCTTGCGCACGCTTTGTGTTCTTGACCTAGAAAAACCATTCTAATCTGATCGATACATATATTTTAGTGCATTCATTGCACACCCTGTGTAGTCTAAACTGCTAGACGTTTTAGCGTGAAAACACAGGAGAGCATCACGCTCACACCACTCCCCACCCAGTTAATTGATATCAGTAAACCTGTGTCCATCTCTATTCACTCCTCCGTTGACTCTTCTGACGGACAGCAGTGACCCATTTACATACAACTGCGCATATTTTTTGTCTCAGTTCACTCTCAAACGATCGAAGCTAGTCCAAGTTACAGGTAAAATTGTCACCAGTTTCTCAATGCTCTTAGTTCCTCATCCTTTTTGCGCAGGAGTGGCTTGCTCACACACACACACCGCAGCTGATCAGTCAGACCCAGAGAACAATAAGCGGGCCCCTAACAGAGCCATGCATTGTTCTCTGCCTCCCCCCCCCGCCCTATTCTCCTTCAACTTTAGGCTTATGACCACTTCACGACCCGTTCGTCCTTCTGTCTTCAACATGTAACGTGTGACCTTCACACCAGACAACCGTATTGTTATTTTGACTGCATAATTCCATTGTACCGAAGTAAGCCTTGTAAATAAAAACTTTGTTTTCGCAAAACACTCCGTCCTTCACAGTTGATCTGTCGGATGTTCTCGTGAAAGCCGCTCTAATATTTTCATCTGAAAGGAAATAACAACGCTAAATTATCTGTTCCTCAAACCATATTGTTGATCACTGGCTCCACCAGTTCACCGGAAACTTTCAATATGTTGCTGGAATGGAACACGTTGATGTTGTTTTACGCCATCTCGCGTTATTAAAGAATATGCTCAATAATTGATCATCGTCTTACGTGACTTAGTGACACCCTTCTGGAACCGATCCTGGGTGATCACTTTAATCCTAGTGGTAACGCAAAAGCATCGACATTAACCAGGGAAAACAGGCTGAATTTCACCTTCCTGTTCTATGTTCCTGCTACTCGATTTCGACAGATACGTACCTGTTGTGGCTTTGTTTTAATTGAAATATCATTGTGATTCCAGAGATTTCACAGTAATTTTTTACAAACTTAAACCGGCTGATGTCTGCCTCGTCCAACTGCTAATTATGTGCTTTCTTCAGCTTGTACTGAGTTAAGTCATATTCTCCCTACCTTTCTCCTTCCACCTCCCGATCCGCTCCACGTCCTGTGTATACATAACCGGCCATGTCAATCGTTCGTTCACACTGTCGTCAATCCCGATGCCCTTGTGTA